CACATTCGACGAAAACTTTAAAGGTTCCTCCGGAAAGCCCATCCCGCGCCTTTACGTTCGCAAAGCCCGTCGCGAAACGAAGTCGTCCTTCCCAGAGAAAAAAAAGGAAAAAAAAACGTGAAACGCTATTTCACGAGAACGATCGAACAAAGTCAGCCCGCACTGGATTTCCCATAAAACCGCGCGCTTGAGATCGTCGACGCGTCCGGTGGCATCCCGATGTTTTTTTTCCCATCCAGAAAATCCTTCGCGTAATCGAAACGTGTCGGCCGCGAAACCGACCAATATTCCGCCGAAAAACCCGGTTTCCCGTCATAAATAAACGGGCCGTTTCGGCCCCATCGTTTCTCATTCTCCCGTTGGAAAAATCGCGGTGGCCGCGCGTTGTCGACGCGAGACAATTCGAATCGGCGCGGTGTGCCGCGCGGCCGTTCCGCGAAACGGCGGTCGCGGGCGTAACAAAAGCAACAGTTAGCTCGTAAATCCCGGGTCCATTAGGTCCGCGAAAACGCTGGCGAACAGAGGAGGGCGGCCTGGCGGCGTTGTTGCGGCGCGTGTCGCGCGTTCAAATATTAATTAACGCGTGCGAGCGAGCGTCTTGAGGAGCGGCGAGACGGCGTCCGTCGCGACGCAACAAGACGCGGCCGCGTCACGATCGCCCACCCAGCAGAAGCGTTTTCGTTTTCGCGACCGTAATCGCTTGGCTCTGGTTTCATCGACGCCGGTATACTCCGGCGCACGCCCTACTTTCCCGGCGAATGGCTGTTGTTGTCGGCGGGCACCGCTCGAAGGTAGCGGATTCAGCCAGTTATCCCTCCGATGCGCGCTCGCATTTCAAATCGTCTCGATGTTTGCATGATTTCTAGCGTCCTTGCGCCCTCCCGGGAGCCAGCGGGGGACGCGGCCACCCAGCGAACGAATTATGTTTGCCGAAAACGTGGATGGTTCACCCCTGCAGTCGTCGTCGTCGTCGTCGTCGGTGTGGCTCGCACGGCGATTCATTTCGACGAAAGTTTCGCGCGACCGTTCGAGTATCAAGTAAACGTGTTTCACTTTAACCAGCTAGCTGTGGCGCCTCCATTTCAGAGCGCGCACCTATACAGGCTGTCCCAAAAATGTCTCGCAATCCGAAAATGACGGGTTCCTCGCATCATTTGAAGCAACTTCTTCCTTTACAAAAATGTTCTCCGAGGCGCTATTAAGGAGTTATTAACGAAAAACAGTGACCAATAAGAATCGAGTACGGCTGACGCGAGGCGGCCCAGCCAACCAGCGCGCGAAGCCCAGTTCCGCTCATTGGCTCGGTCGCCTCGCGCCAGCCGAGCTCGCCTCTCATTGGTCACTGTTTTTCGTTAATAACTCGTTAACGGTGCCTCGGAGAACATTTTTGTAACGGAAAAAGTTGCTTCGAATGACCTGAGGAACCCGCCACTTCCGGATTGCGAGACATTTTTGGGACACCCTGTATAGTGTAGAGAACATATTGATTATCAATAAAAAAATACTGTAAATGCCATTGCAATATTATATCAGTAACATAAAATTATTATATTTTGTAGAACTTCATGTTTTCCTTAAAATAGAGCCGTGGCACCCAGGGCAAGACGCGCCAAATTTGCGTGGCAGTCAATGGTGTAGCCGGCTGTAAAGCCGGCTGGATAGGAATTTTTCCTTTTATGCAAATCGTCGTGCAACGGTAATGCTCTCAGTGACGAAACTTCGTAACATAATTCCTCGGAATTCTTACCGGCGATCATTGAATTAAAGAATCCAACGGCTACACTGGAATCCCTTAATCCGATTTCCCTCTCGACTTCCAAGTTCCTCGCGCCCAAAAAACGCCGCGGAGGAAAAACTTCGATCCAATTCCCGGCCGGAGTCGATTTATAATAGGTTTCGGTCTGTTTTCCTCGATACAAAAAAACGAAGGAGTCACTCAGGCGGGCGTGATAGTTACTTTCCAGAAGTTAAATCACTATTGGCCGCGTAAACCGGATGCAATGTCCTTGGACCGTTTAACGAAAGAACTGCCACACCGGTTTAATCTCTCGCGCACACAGTGTTGGTTGTTTTTAGATTGTTTTATTTAAAACGTGTGTTTCATGTTTATGAGTTATATTTGTTTATGCATGTTCAGTTGTCTTCATTTGTACGGGTTGAATTGTCTTCATTTGTCCAAGTTCAATTATCTTCATTTATACAAATTCAATTTTCGTCATTTGTCCAAGTTCAATTATCTTCATTTGTCCAAGTTCAATTATCTTCATTTGTCCAAGTTCAATTATCTTCATTTATACAAATTCAATTTTCTTCATTTGTCCAAGTTCAATTATCTTCATTTATACAAGTTCAATTATCTTTATTTACACAAATTCAATTGTCTTCATTTGTCCAAGTTTAATTATCTTCGTTTATGCAAGTTCAATTATCTTCATTTGTACAGGTTGAATTATCTTCATTTGTTCAAGCTTAATTATTTATACTCACTTACTTATTTATACTTATTTATACTTATGCTCTATTTATACAAGAATTATTCAACAATTATGCAATTGTTTCCATTTGTCCAAGGTTATATTACTTTCATTGATTCAAGTTCGATTACCTTCGTTCATCCAAGTTTAATTATCCTCGTTCATCCGATTTTATTAGTCTTCACACGTCTCGTATTTTAACCGAAATAGGCTGGAATCACTTTGATCTATTTCTCATGCAGAAACTATAAACGCAGTTTTGCATTGTTGCGCGAAATGTGTAAGATGCGGCGTCTAGACGTCCCGAAGTAGGTTGAAAAAACGGGTCTCAGAGAAAAACGCGATTAAACTTTCACAGCGGCCTTCGCGATGATCGGACATTTCTCTTGTGAAAAATTCATGACCGCATTATCGTTTCAACTCTATACGATGACAGTTTCGAAGAACACTTGCACCTTTATAATCATGTCTTAAAAGGGTGTGTCCCTCGGAAATATGTACACCGGCGAAGTTTAACCCTTCGCTCTACATCCACGTCTGAGAGACGTGGCCAGATAATCGGGCCAGAAATAATTATCATGTCTGAGAGACGTGGTCAGATAATCGAGTTAGAAATGATTATCACGTCAGAGAGACGTGGTCAGATAATCGGGCCAGAATTAATTATCACGTCTGAGAGACGTGGTAAAAAATCGGGCCTGAAATGTGAGCCGTGGTTATATAAACATATAATATAAACCAAATATAAACATAACTGGTTAGGCTCGTGTTAGACTAGGGGATGCGTGTTTTGTGGTTTTTTGTTTTTCGCAATTTAATTGTTTAATTAGTAGTTAAAGGAGGTGGGGGGGGGGGGGGGCAGGAACCAGTAACTTACCGAGATTTACGAAACAAATTTTTTAAATTTTCATTGCAGGCTCAGATAAAAAAGTTAAAAAACAAGAGTTCTCTACTTTCTTGTATCATTCTAAGCAATAGCAACTTTTTAAAGAAGCATTCTAGTTATGATCTCGTAGACCATAACTAGCCAATAAATTAGGACAACCAACGCTGACTATGAATCAGATCGGATAAACAAGATTCTACTGCACTTTACTGCATATCCAACAAGATAGCTAACTCAAGAAGGACCTTAACCCCTTGGCTACATTTGACGACTGAGCCTCGTTATCCACCTGGTTCGCCTAAGTTACGGATGACGAGTCTAACTCGTCCTTCAAACTTCTAATTACTATGTATACTATATTGCTCGAATAACCGAATTCTCGCAAAAAATCCACTGCCCTTATATTATATAATAATATATTTTATTTTATATATTTAATTTCATATTATTATAAAATTATAATTATTAATTTCATATTGTATATTTAATTTTATATTATTATAAAATTAATGATTAATTTCGTATCATATTTAATTTTATATTATTATAAAATTAATTATTAATTTCATATTATATATTTAATTTTATACTATTATAAAATTTATTATTAATTTTACACTATATATTTAATTTTATACTATTATAAAATTAATTATTAATTTTACATTATATATTTAATTTTATATTATTATAAAATTAATTATTAATTTCATATTATATATTTAATTTTATACTATTATAAAATTTATTATTAATTTTACACTATATATTTAATTTTATACTATTATAAAATTAATTATTAATTTTACATTATATATTTAATTTTATATTATTATAAAATTAATTATTAATTTCATATTATATATTTAATTTTATACTATTATAAAATTTATTATTAATTTTACACTATATATTTAATTTTATACTATTATAAAATTAATTATTAATTTTACATTATATATTTAATTTTATGTTATTATAAAATTAATTATTAATTTCATATTATATATCTAATTTTATACTATTATAAAATTAATCATCAATTTTACATCATATTTGCCTATTTCATATAACAACAAAACAATTCCGCGCATCATTAAATGAAATCCGCCGCAAACGCAGGAATCGTCACGAACAGATCTATCCCCAAGCGATGAAAAAAGTACATCAAAAGATCTCAAACAGCCGCGGACACGAACGAATCCGTGCTGCCGCGCGGCATCACCGAAAGCGTCCGGCTGAATTAAAGAATTCCTGGAGCATCCAGGGGAACGATTTAGACCGTGGCCAGAAGAAGAGTTTCTCGGTGTCGAAAAGAAGGCCGCGAGAAAGATTGGCTTAATTATGGGTCGCGAATAAAGGATGATAACGGCACGAAGAAGAACGGACGGACGGACGGACGGACGGACGAACGGGTGGGTGGCCGTCGAGGAGCGAACCGAAAGGCAGTCAGGCAGGCAGTCAGGCCAGCAGGCAGGCAGGCAGGCAGGCAGGAGCGTAAACAAGGAGAATGCAACGTGGGGGCGGTTGGACGAAGGGGTGAAGAGGCAACGCACGCTCATGCGCGCCTGGAACCCCGCCCTGTCGCTTCGGACGAAAGCTTGTCCCGTGGAGGACTCTGGGCCGAGGTACGACGGATAGTCACGCTTTAACTCGCGATCCGCGAGGCGGATGCTACCGGAACGCGCGGAAGTCGCAGGTGTGTAGGGTATATACACCGATGTAACAAGAACCCCGAAGGCTCGGGCTCCTGTCGCGTAGCTCCTGCGCTCTGTGCCTGCGGGGAACCGCGGCGAGTCACGGCGGTGGCACGGACGGCGTTTAATAACAGCAGGGGGCCTCCTGATCGGAGGCGAGAAGGCAGGACAGGTGGTGCGGGTGTTGTTCAGGTGTTCGCTGGCCAGGAGAAGACAGAGAGTTCCCGTTCTGGCCGGAGTTCCGTGGTGCTGACCGCGCGCGGGCAAGACCTGTTCGTCTCGCGAGGAAGGTTTTACCTGATCGGCGAAAGTGCGGAGAATATCGGCGGATCGAGCCGGTGTGGGCCGATCGGCGAATGGATCGAGGATTCATCATCGATCCTGCTCTCGTCGTTCGAGGTAAACACGAACGTTGCCGAACGGCCGCGGGACTCGAGGAACGTCGCGGCGAAGCTGGCGCAACGGCAGGCAACCAGTTGCGGGTCTAATTGTTCCTGAAACCGGAGCCAACGCGGAAACCACGGGCATCGTGTCTCTCGGACGTCGATCTCGATAAAGATCGTCGGGGGTGCACGTCGCGAAAGGGGGGCTGGCTGTCGTCCGGCCATCGGCCGACGATCGCGGGACTAAGGCGATCGGATTTCCACAGGCAACAGGATTTCGCAGGCAACGGTATCGCGGCCGAAGAAACGTCGCCGGGGGTATATCCTTTCACGCGAAGGGAAGGAAGAAGGTTCGATCGATTTTTGAACGCGTGACACGAGCGGCGTTATCCTTCGCTCGGCGTTCAGGACGCGCCTCCTGTTGATTACAAGCGCTAATGGCAACGGCGGTCGATCGATCATCGACCTCGTTAGCCAGCAGGATTCTCGGTCGATGATTCGGCCCGCTGGATCGATTCGTCCGAACGGTGTTCGAACGGAGAGAAACGGGGAGAAGAGAGACAGGCGTGCGTTCGGAGATCGTCCGAGACCGACGAGGATCGTCGTCGCAGCTCCGTCGAGGACAATTTTCTAAATAAAGAGATCACCGATCAACGCGGTTCGATTTCTCGAGATCCATGCAAAAGTGTTTTTCCCGTTTAGAGAAATAAATAAATACCGATTGTAATCGGGCGACCCGGAACCAAGTCGTCGGTGGTTCTCGACTTGGGCGAACGATTCCCGCTGCGCGTCGTCGATACCGCGGGCCCACGGTTCTTTCTCCCCTAAGTGATAGTTATCGCGGCGGGGGCGTTCGATGGTGTGCTTAGCGCGAAGATAACGGCCTTGAAACTTTTCCGCGCGGATCAGAGGGGCCGTGGATTCGAAACACCGCCGGAGATGCTCTAGCCGCCCCCTCCGGCATCATGTCTATCTACAGCTAAAAGGTCGTGATCGATCGGCTCCTACTTCGATGGCCTAAAAGAACTTTAAACGTGCAAGGTCATTATGCACACCGGGGAAACGGGGACAGTCTAAAGTGCAGGGGGGAGGAAATTCGAGGAAGCGCGCAGGAGTTTCTCGCGCGACCAGGAGAACGAACGATTCGGCGGCGACGACGACGACGACGGAGACGGCGGCGACGGCGACGGCGGCGGCCCGTGTGCTCCGCGGGAATAAACTTTCGCAAGGCCTAGCCGACCTATTTACCCGAGGGGAAGAGAGCACAGTAACGTCTCACCGGAAAGAGAGCCCTCTTCGAGACGGTCCAGATGACGCGATAGCGGGGATTCGCTGATCCGCGCGATGTCGTGTCAAGGACACCCGAGGAAACGGGAACGAACCGGTATTAACGCGATGTGCCACGCCGATCCATTTACCATCGTGTACCTGTCGCATCGTTCCTCCCGTTCGATTCCGGTGGCTCGGCGACGATAACGGAGAAGACAGCGACAGCGTCTTCGGACAGGCGAGGGAACAGAGAAAGAGAGAAAAAGAGAGAGAAAGAGAGATAGAGAATTAATTAGCCGGAGCAGACACCTAGGACACGGACCGAGGCGCGGTCTCTTCAGCGGTAGCGCGTCGCTTAAAGGTGTTCTGCTAAATGAGACCGTTCAAGAAACGAGTGAATCAAGCGGTTCAGAAAGCTAGCACCCTCCTCCCGCGGAGCTCGGAGCAGGACGCTCGACCTCGGTATCAATCCAGCCTCTGACCCCAAAATCAGCACACAAAGCAGCCCCGCCAGCACTCGATGAGTCCTAGTGAAGATAAGGATCCTCGAGCACCCTCGATCGTTCGCCACGAAAGCCTGAAGAAGATCCGGTTGGCACCTATCTGAGAGCGGTTGGGTGATGCGCGGGAGCAGCTCCGAGCTCTTGCTGGAGGCGAGCTGCGTCCAGTGCCAGAGCGATCATCACAGCCAGCATAGGCATCAGCAGCATCAGCAGAACGAGAAGCACGACTTCCAGAAGCGAGAGCTACGTCGTCGCAAGCTGTTGGAGTTCGGGTTCGGCGCTTCGCGGCGCCGACCGCCACGGCGTACCTGCCGTCAGCGGTTCAATTTCTACGCCACCTCGGCGCTGGCCTTCGTCGCGACGTCTGGCGGGGCGGCCCTCCTATTTCTAGTGCCCCTGTACGTCGATCCTGCCATCAGCACCTTGGCCGCCGATTTCTCACCGGAGCCGGTCATCTGCACCACTTCCAGACGGGAAGAGCTCTACGGCCTCTTCAACTGCACATGGAGCTCCTGCCGCGAGGGATGCACCAGCGACGTCTACAGGTGTACGCACATATACGTCACCTACACGCCATGGAGCAACAACACCATGAAGAACGACACAGGCGGTAAAGGGAACTCGAGCACTATCGGCCTTCTACACACCTCGACCACCACCGGTAAGCGTCGCGAACTAACTCCTACGCGATTTTATTGTCGGCGCGATTCGGACACGGTCAGCAAGCACATGTCTTCCTAATTGACGCTCGGATTGTGCAGAAAAATGGATAATTTGGGAAGAGGAGGTACGATTAGTCTTGCGGCTCGGTTTTCAAATTGTTGACAATCGGTAATTATGAAAATTAACCGCAAGACTCGAATAATCGAGTCTCCTCTTTCGAAATTGTCCATTTTTGTGCACAATTTGAGCGTCAATTGAGGAGACTTTACTGTAATTTGAATGATAAGGCGTTCAGTTTGAGCGGTCCACAGTAATGTCTCCCTAATTGACGCTCGGATTGTGCAGAAAAATGGACAATTTGGGAAGAGGAGATACGATTAGTCTTGCGGCTGGGTTTTAGAATTGTTGACAATCAGTAACTTCGAAAATTAACCGCAAGGCTCGAATAATCGTGTCTCCTCTTTCGAAATTGTCCATTTTTGTGCACAATCTGAGCGTCAATCAGGGCTGTCTCTTATACACATCTAGATGTGTATAAGAGACAGGCTCGAATAATCGTGTCTCCTCTTTCGAAATTGTCCATTTTTGTGCACAATCTGAGCGTCAATCAGGGAGACTTTACTGTAATTCGAATGATAAGGCGTTCAATTTGAGCGGTCTAGAGTAATGTCTCCCTAATTGACGCTCAGATTGTGCACAAAAATGGACAATTTGGGAAGAGGAGATACGACTAGCCTTGCGACCCGGTTTTAGAATTGTTGACAATCGGTAACTATTAAAATTAACCGCAAGGCTCGAATAATCGTGTCTCCGCTTCTCAAATTGTCCATTTTTGTGCACAATCTGAGCGTCGATTAGGGAAACCTTACTGTAATTCGAATGATAAGGCGTTCAGTTCGAGCGGTCTAGTTGGCGCTGTTAGTAGATTACAAATTTTTGCAATTTTATGAATTTTACATATGTTTTGATGATCGATCACGTCGATGCATCACTTTCGTCACAATTATCAGAATTCTCGGGATGTGGATTATCTCTGGTGTACGTTTTTTTGTTTTGTAAATAGTTACTGTTTTCGATGGTATATCTCTGCGATATTACTCCAGATATTATTCCAGAGTAATCAAATTGTTATCGTGAAAGTGTTGATGAAATTCATTTTCCATTTTCATTTAAAAGCGGCGCAATATTCTCTCATGCATCAACGTCAATGCATATTCTTAGCGGCAGAAAAGGACGCGACTTATGGGCTGAAATTCTAGTTGGTATATCGAACGTGCACCGCGTTGATTCGCGTAAACGGTCTGCGGATTTTTATGCAAAATAGAAACTTTTCAGCTCGATTATCGGGAATAGAAATTAAATCGATGTCTGTCGCTTGCTTTATACGTGTACTTAAATTTTTCTAACGTGTTTGCACTTTCGTGTTTTATCTAGTCATTTTGTTCATATATGCATAAAATCCGCAGAATTAGAGTTGAGAATATTTTTACTCGAATGACGAATAACGAATAAAATTGTATTCGAAGAATTTAAATATTATAAGATTCGAATTTTATTCAAATAATTTATTCGATATATTATCTGAATAAAATTGTATTCGAATAATTTATCCGAGGTATTATACGATTCGAATGTTATTCAAAGGATTTATTCGATATATCATATGAATACAATTGTATTAGAATAATTTATCCGAAATATTATACGATTCGAATTCTATTCACAGAATTTGTTCGAAATATTATTCGAATCAAATTTCATCCGCAGAATTTATTCGATATATTTTATATGAATAAAATTGTATTCGAAGAATTTATCCGAAATATTATTGGATTCGAATTTTATTCAAGGAAATTATTCGATGCATTATCCGAATGGAATTGTATTCGATTGATTTATCCGAAATATTATTGGATTCGAATTTTATTCAAAGAAATTATTCGATGCATTATCCGAATAAAATTGTATTCGAATAATTTCTCCCAAATATTATACGATTCAAATTCTATTCAAAGAATTTATTCGAAGCATTATCCGAATAAAATTGTATCCGAATAATTTCACCGAAATATCATATACGATTCGAATTCTATTCAAAGAATTTATTCGAAGCATTACCCGAATAAAATTCTATTCGAATAATTCCTCCGAAATATTATCCGATGCGAATTCCATTCAAATAATATACTCGATGCATCATCCGAATACAATTTCATTCGAACAATTCATTCGAAACATTATTCGAACAGAATTCGAACAATTCATTCGAAATATCGTTCGAATAAAATTCAACCCCCAATTCCGTCCGAAACGATCCACCAACGAAACAATCTCCTCGAATTAGTATTCGTTGTACAAAAATTGATAAATATTCGATCGAACCGCCCCGCGATCCGAACGGCGACGTTCCTCGCACGGCGGCTCGAACGACGAAGAGCCGTATTTCATTTGCCCGCGACGTGTACTGGGTTAATGTCTGGCTTCCCCCCCTGCCCGAGCCACGAAACATCAACTTTCGCTAATCAATTCGCAATTGGACTAATTCGTGAACGTGTCCCAACAGTGCCGACGCCAGGCGACGTCGAGGCAGCCCTGCTGGTGAATATCAAGGGGTGCGGCTACCCGCCGATCGTCGACTGCGACAACTTCACCCGCGAATTGGGCTACGAGGGCGCGAGGTTCCCCTGCCATTATAGCCGCGTGAACGGCAGCATAGTGATGGCGAACTATGACCGCGAGGCGCAGGTTACCACCATCATACACTTCTTCGCGGCGCCGTTCGTAGTGACTCTCGCGACCAGCGTCGCTCTGTGTGTGATGCACTGTGACTGTAGGTGCAGTCCGCCGCCCCGACATTCGTCGCGCGGGATCCGAAGGGCCAGGGGCAACGATCTCAGGTAACCAACAATTACAATGCCTTCTGTTATACTGTACAAAACACTATGACCCAATGCCTGGTAGCCCGTTCCGTTTCGTCTCCTCGACAAAACCGCGTGCGCGCGCGCGCGCGTGTGCACGAAGGAAACTTCGGGGGACCCGTCGAAACTGTGCCCGAAATCGCGAGAACCGGCTGAGGGAGGGGGGGAGGGAGGGAAATCGTGACTGAAAGTTACGCGACGCCGGATCCTACCGAACGCCGACAGAATGTCGTTCGGTGATTTCGAGAGAGAGGACGGCTTTTCTTTTTTTTTCATTCGTCGGCTCGGACTTTTTCCGGAACTCGTTTCTTTCGGGGAATTTACAGCGATATCGAGGCCAGTCGCGGCCCGTCGCAGTTTTTCCGCGGGCCAACGAACGTCCGATGCGCCCCGGAGGCCTCTGTTGCGGATCCATAGGCTTGCATAAATTGGTTCCGCGGGGCTTGCAGGAATAGTGCATGCGGCGAATTCGGCGGTGAATTTGCGAGCAGCTCGCGGATCTTTATGCGGCTACCGCATCTCCCAGGTTTAATCGATTTTCGCACGGTTTTCATCGTTTACGAATTAGTCGGCGTTCCACGTATCGTTTTATCCAGTCGCGAATAGTAGAGTCTTGCTCGTACACTGGAACAATCGAACTCGTCGTGGTGACGGATTTTTCATTCTTTTTTAGTCGTTATGATTCTTTCGTGTGTTCGAGTACTGAATGCATAGGGTGTTTCGTCTAAGTGAATACAGTAATGTCTCTCTAATTGACGCTCAGATTTGTCCGCGAAAATGACACAATTTGGGGAGAGGAGATGCGATTATTCGAGCCTCGCGGTTCGTTTTTATAGTTACGAATTGTCAAGGTTATACCAAGGTTTTATGCAAGTCTCGAGCAATCGTATCTTCTCTTCCCGAATTGTCCATTTTTGTGCACAATTTCAGCGTCGATTAGAGAGACATTACTGTACAGTGAAATATGGAATGAAGCTATGAAAAAAATGTTTTTACAGAAGCTGTTCAGTTTAAAAATGTGTCTCTTACGTAGTGTTAACAATTTTTTTCATTCGTGCTATGGTGGAGGATATTTCAAGGTTAAATTGATTTTTTTATATCAGGCCATACATTTTCTTATTATTATTACGATTGTATTCCGTTAGACGAAACACCCTGTATATTTAATTACACGTAATCAAGTACAACAAGATGAAAATGGCACGTTATCGTTAGACCGCGGATTTATTATGCAGTTATGAGAAAAGTGTAGACGAAATATAAAATTGTGAACACATAAGAAGATTTTAATAATATAGTTACACTATTTTCAGTTTATTGAAATGATTCAAAGAAACGATTTACGATACAGTAAATTCTCCCTAATTGACATATATGATCCATTTATTTTTATTATATATAATGACAGTAGTCCGTTTTAATTTCGGAAGAGGAAATACGATTATTCGAGTCCATTTATTATCATAGTCTATTTATTTTTATTACATATAATTGCAATAGTTTATTTTAATTTCGGAAGAGGAAATACGATTACTGCGCCTCGCTTTTATAGTTGTTAACAATCAGTGACCATAAAATAAATAAAAACGAGCCGCGAGGCTCGAACAATCGCATCTCCGCTTCCCAAATTGTCTATTTTCGTGTACAATCCGAGCGTCAATTAGGGAGAATTTACTGTACTTTTATTTAATTTCTGTTCCCCGCAACAGTCTTGAAAAAATTTCATTTCGCATAAAGATCCGCAGTCTGTTTCTCATATGACCGCGACTACGTTACCTCCAAAATGCAATACAAACTAGTTATTTTTAATCCCCGGTTGTTCGAGTGTCTCGAGCTTGTCTCGTCGCTCCTTGATTTCTCATTGTCCGAAAAGTTTATAAAGCTCCGTCACTTTGTCGCGCCGATACTTCGTCGTTGCGTTAATTCGTCACCGAGGGGGCAAATCAATCGGCGAAACGAAGGTAGAACGGATTTCCTTGAAAGAAATTTTTTTTCAACGACCGACTCTGTTCTCTTTATGCCCGCTTTCCCAGAGTTACGTATGAAAATGAGAATTTGCATAGAGACGCGCGCGGTCCAGTTTATATAGTTAAGCGGTCCTAAAATCTTGGATCACGACGGTTAGGTTACTGCATACTCGAGATTTTAGCTACGTATTCTCCGTGCGTTTTTTTACGCTAGTTTAGAGACTCGTTCTATTTTATGAACACTTGCGAGCACTTCTTGCACCGTGTTTCACATTTTGTTACAACAATCGGGAAATCGTACGTCTGCCGATTGTTGTGCAACTTTGATCGCGATCTCGGTACGAACCGTTCGGTTCGATATTTTTTTTTTACGCGGAAGCAAGTTTATATTTTCAATGACAAGCGATTTGTTCAGTCAATTTGTTAGATAAGAGTTGCTTTATAGCGTCAGCATCGAATAGAATTTTCAGCCTTAATTAAGGACATTTCTCGATTCACATTTCTTCGCTATTTGGCACAACTCATCGTTTCTCTCGATCAAGATACAGTCGGAACTACGAATAGAACGATTCAATAATTTCTTGTTAATCATGCGAACCGGCTACGGGAGCGTGACTTCGAGAAAGGCAGCTCTGAAGTTCCGAATTCCATCCGGCAACTTCGCAAATATTACGAACCGAAACTCGAGATTTCCCGGAGACATATCTAATGATCCAATTTACAAGTTTCTACCGCGGAGAAGTCGATTATTTTCACGGAAAAGGGACGGAATTGTCGCCGCGTAGCGTCGTTGCAAAGTGATACAGTAATGTCTCTCTAATCGACGCCCAAAAGATCGCGCACAAAAATGGACAATTTGGGAAGAGGAGATACGATTACTCGAGCCTTCCGGCTCATTTTTATAGTTACGAATTGTTAATAACTGCAAGAATGAGCTGCAGGGCTCGAATAATCGTATCTGCTCTTCCCAAATTGTTCATTTTTGTTTCCAAATCAGAGCGTCAATTAGGGAGATTGACGCCTAGATTGCGCACAAAAATGGACAATATGGGAACAGGAGATACGATTACTCGAGCCTTTCGGTTCATGTTTACAGTTGTCGATAATCGGTAACTATAAAAACGAGCCGAGAACAGCTCGAATAATCGCGTCTCGTCTTCCCAAATTGTCCATTTTTGTGCGCAATCTGAGCGCGAATTAGGGAGAAATTACTGTACATAGTAATGCTGGGATAAAAACGACGACTTAACTTTTTTATTTCCAATTTTTTACCACGATTCGAAGGCAATTCGGAGGCCACGTGACGCGATTCGAAGGCAATTCGGAGAGCATTATGATACGATTCGAAGGCAATTTGGAGAGCACGTGACACAATTCGAAGGCAATTCGCGTCGCGTGCCGCATCACACGCTTTACCGACTCCGTCGTTCTTTAGAATCGACGTGGCAATAAATTGCATAGACGTAGGCCTAGCACAGAGAAATTCACAGCAACCCGAAATTTGGCATTTCAAGGGAGAAATTACTGTATGTGGTATAATAAATAATGGTAAAATAATTGGTATTTTTCAATCTAAACCTCTCGAGAGTAAGACTAGATAGAGTGAGATTATATCCTCCTTTAAAACAGAACGTTCAAATTACAGCAATGTCTCTCTAATTGACGCTCAGATTGTCCACAAAAATGAACAATTTGGGAAGAGGAGATACGATTAATTTGAGTCTTGCGCCTTGCTCTTGTAATTACCGATTCTCAACAACTATAAAAACGAGTTCGAGAAAAATGGACAATTTGAGAGGAGGAGATACGATTATTCGTATTATTATTGCCTTTGAATCGTGGTAAAAAATTAGAAATAAGAAAGTTAAGTCGTCGTTTTTATCCCAGCATTACTATGTACAGTAATTTCTCCCTAGTTCGTGCTCAGATTGCGCACAAAAATGGACAATTTGGGAAGACGAGATGCGATTGTTCGAGCTTTTCTCGGCTCGTTTTTATAGCTACGAATTATCAACAACTATAAAAACGAGCTGCAAGGCTCGAATAATCGTATCTCCTCTTCCCAAATTATCCAATTGAGTGGACAATCTGAGCGTCAGTAAGGGAGACATTAGATCCTCGAGTTCGGAAAAGATTCGCTTCGAAGCGGGATCCAAAGCGGTTTAGCCAAATTCAAACAGGAACGCAACGAAAGTTTTTAATGCAGCCAGGGTGTCGATTCGCGGACGTTTTAACGATTAAAATCGTCCAATCGCGAAATGCAGCTCCGGCAGCCGTCGATCTGTTCCACCGTCTGTCCGAAGATAAAACGGAATGCGAAAAACGGGCGAGGTATCTTTCGAAAGATATCGATCTGATCGCCGCCGGTGACAGAATAGTTCACAATAATCTGGAAGTTGGTCGGCCAGCACCGCTCGCTACGGCGAGAACTCTCGTGATCGATCATGGCAGGTCGCGAGGTACATCGGGGAAAGGTGTTGCCGCGCTCGTTTTCTAAGGAAAAATATCTGCGAGCGGAAAGTAACTCTCTGACAGGAATTTAACGGGTCGCGCACGTGCGACGACCAATGACCGTATATTAAAAAAGGAAAAAAATGCTTTCGGATTAATCGAAACGCGTGGAACGATGTTCAAAGAGTCGATCAATCCTTTCGTGCCAACTTCGCAACAATATTACGAAGTCTCTCCGCAAGGCTAACACGATTCTCTGCACGTTTATTTCTGATGTTGCATTGCACGGTAATCGTGAATCAGAAGTTTTTTTCGCAGCGCTTTTATATCACGTAGTCTTCGATTGTTGTTATAAAATTATTACGAAGGGTTCTAGTGAACGCGATATTAATAATACAGCGTGTTCCAAAATTATGGTACTTCCGGGAAATGAGGGGTTCCTGAGATCATTTGAAGTAACTTTTTCCTTAGCGGAAATGTTCCACGAGGCACTCCGAGGGGTTCCTGAGGCCATTCCAAGTAACTTTTTCCTTTATAAAAATTTTCTCCGAGGCCTCGTTA